AAAAAGAAACCTTTTCCCTTGGGTACAGTAATGTCTGTAGATATTAATGTCTGTAACTTGTTTACTCTCCTGTGAGTCAACAGACTCATTCTGAACTATCTAGCTAACTGACAATTAAAATATACCATTAAAGCTGGTTTCTCAGACATTTCATAGGAGTCACAGTGAAATGATTTGCAAATGTGAGTACTGAATTCGGTAAGATAAACTAGAAAAGGCAGTCTCTATGTTAGCATTTGTCGCTTGTATAAAATTCTATGTGAATCTCATTGCAAGCTGGTTTTTGATTCAGTGAAATTTTTCCTCTGCTCGTGTTTTTCATCACGCTTGTTCTAGAAGATGATATTTTTTTGCTACACCACAGAAAATATGATAAGCATTAGAAGCCGTCAGAGCAAGAAAAATACAAAACTGAGCAGAGTGTGTGAGTTAAGAGAAGCTTCTCTTGAGAGATGGAGAAAAGCTAGAACTGGAGGGAAGACTATCTTGCCCACTCTGTGTGCACGTTACATTCTGGTGTATGAGTGCAGAACATGGAAAGTGGGCTTCGTAAGAGGAAGGGAGAGTGCTAGCACTGCTCTGAGTTGATGAGTGGAGAAAAAATCTCAAGACAAGATACCAAAACGTGAGAAAGGGGCAGCAGTGGTTTTTCATAAACTGGGAAAATGCAGGTTTTCTTGTTGTGCACACCGCAAGGTAGGGTTCTGAGTTAGTCCCATTGCTGTGTCCCCTTGCCTGTCCTACTCTCCAACCCTTCATTTTCAAGCTAACGAAGTCCAGCTAAGAATGACTTCAGACATGACAGCTTTCTAAAGCAGTTTCTGACAAAGTGGGCACTAGCCCAGCGGGCTAAACAATTGCATGGATTCTGTGAGAAAGAAGCCTGAAGGGGCTGATTAGAATAGTACTGGATAGGTGTTAATGAATTCTGTCCTCGTTGTAAAGCCATTTTGAAATCAAATTCTTCAATAGCTGCTTTGTCCCATTAAAGTACCATCCATCATTGCCAATTGTGATAATCCAAATGCAGGACATACCGTTTCTGGGCAAAGAATGACTTTTTTTTGTTGTTTATGGAATATATTCAAACTTCCAGGTGTCTTCTACCGAATGTGGAGGTTAGTGTTGGGATGTGCTGCAAGATGTGAGTTGTGATATCAGATGCAAAAGGTAGAGAAGGCATTTCACTTTGTGCTTTCTCGGGCAGTACGTATTTTGACAAGCAGCAAAGAATGCAAAAATAACTTTATGGCTTATAGTCTTTCACATTGCAGAGCTGTCGCATTTGCTGAATAGAATGGATTTGGGCTCCTACTGTATCTGACTTGCCTCTGGCTTGAAATAGGTTGTCATCTTTTCATTACATTGCAAGAGAGTGCTTATTTGTGAAATTAATGCACGGTTATCCACAATGGGCAGATACAAGCTGATGTATTCCAGAGTGTCTGGAATATCTCCAGTCTTCTATCTGTCTGTATCCCTGTCAGCCTCTGTCAGCTTCTTTCTGTCAGCAGCACTAAAAGGAGAATCAAATCTCATCTCGTGATAGAGAATAACCTTAACCTAATGCTACCAAAGAGGACAGAGACTTAAAAAAAATAATAATAATAATAAAAAAATCATCAGGTTATCCTAGATGTAAAGGATTAATTACTTTTTTGTGAAACTGCAATGAAACAGTGTGTCTCAAAAAAAGCCGTGCTGCTTCCCGTGGATTGTGGCTGGACTTGTACATGGACAGTACTGTGTGCATTGCAGATCTGCTTCAGAATACATCAGTGTTTCTAGCAACTCTCTCTTAGGCTAGCATCAGGTTTTGTATTTCTGCAAGATACATGGCAGTAATTTTCTTACAGTAATCCCTTTATCTGCATTTTATGCGTGCCTTCTCCAGAACTAGAAGAAAACTGCAGAAATCTGCTGGCCATTGAGAAAGAGTAGATGTTATTTTTCTCTTGCTCATGGTAAAACTCCACATCTGTATGATATGTATGCTGGGGACATGGTATGTAAAAGTTTCTTGTCTCTGACTGTGCATGATGCAGACTGAGTTGGGGCAGGATGTCTGAGCAGGCAAATTTGCGAGGAGAGGAGAGTGCTGGCTGTGCAACTACAGCCCTTAGTGGCTTAATTCCTGTGAGGAGGAAGTTAGGGGTGCTGTGTGCAGAAGCAGACATCTTGGTGTCACGGCAGGTAACTTGCACAGGGCAGCAGGTCTGAACTCCAGTCACAGAAAGGTTTAAGGTCATTCAATTAAACTGGAGTTGTTGTTGGTCCTGCATAACAGAATGCAGTATGCATGCATGGGCGTTGAGTCTCAAGGAGAATTAGCTACCTAGATGATGGATGCTCTGGACACAAAGAACAGTATATAAATATATTCACTGATACAGGATGCCAGAAGGTAGCTTTATGTAAGTAGTACTAGTTACCATGTGCAGGGAAGTTGTGAAGCTTGGAAATTTGCTATGTCCCATGCTCTTATGCATACCTGGTTACAGCTAGCATATGCTGGTCAGTATGAGATTTGTGAGAGCTTTTCAGCTTGTCAAAAGACTGTTGATGTATAAGGCACTTAAGATAGGTTTTCCATTTCTGTGAGCAACGAGTAATGATTCAGCGCCGTGGCTGACTTTGATAAATTTCAGTGTGCTCCTAACTGTGAGTTGCCTTTCTAAGATAATAGAAATCCGTGCTAAGTTTCCTTGCAAGATTCACTTGTGGAAGGCTCTTACTTTAGAGCTCAGGTAAGTAATACAGTAGGTAATACAGGGCACCATTTCCAGCCACTCTGAGCAATATTGTCTTCTAGAAGACTTCAGCTTCTTTAGATGGTGCAATCCAGTAACTGGCAGGAAATTTAGAAAAAAAAAAAAAAAATTAATCATTAATTTTTTGCTCTTGTTCTGGTAATAATTCAACAGGAAAATTTCTGCCCTCTGCTTGAGGCTGTTGGACTTCCTTGCTGACTTCTCTTAAGTAACACACTTCCTATGTGCATTTTATTGTGGCTTTGTTACAATTATTTTTGTATTCAGTAGCTTCTCTGTGAGAGGGAACATTCTGATCATTTTACACAAGTAGAAAATAGCCTATGAGCAAGGAAGTTGATTTTCAGTCTTCAAAAAAAGTGTTTGAAAACTCATCTGGCAGGTGTAGCATCTTATCTCCCTGTCATTACCAGACATTAAGTGTAGTAAGTTACTGATATTAAGGTATAGTAAATGTTGAGGATGACTTATGTGGGTAGAGTAGCCTGAGCGAATAAGAAAAGTTGCATAAAATAGAATGAAACCTGTTTTCTGAAAGTAATCCTGAGATGTTCTTCCTTAGTTTGACATAAATTTTCTGTATACACCACCAGGTTAATGGCACGTTCACATTTATGCAGTAACCAAACATCAAAAACTCCTATATTGAACAGGTTAATTGAAACGGGGAGCTGGTGCTAGCTCATTCTCTTGGCCAAGCATGTGCCTACCTCTTGCCATCTTTGAAAGAAACATCAGCAAAATGCAGAAATTCTGCTCTTTGCTGCTGGTTAGCAATCCTAGCTATCCCCACGATACATTGATTCTAAGTTGAGAAGCAAGCTGACTTCCACTTTGAGAAGTGGAATTTAAGAGAATTTACCTACAGAGTACTTGAGTATCGCACTCTGTTTGATGTTCAGCTGCCCTAAATTAGGCCAGGAGTTGTTCCATACCATATGACATCATGCAGTAGGCTGTAAAGCCATGGGGAGTTGGCTTGGGGAGTGGCTGCTGCTAAAGGCTTGCTGGGCATCAGCCAGCAGGTGGTGAGACCTCGCGTTGCTAGCAGGCTGTTGGTTGGCAGGCAGTTGGTGTTGTTGAGCATCACCTTAATTACCCAGGTAACATATGAGTTCTGTATTTTAGAGTGTCTTTGTGGACATCTGAAGTTACCTAGAAAACTTGTATTGATCCAACTTGAGTTGGACTCTGTTATTGTATGTACTTGCATCTTCTTTTTGAAGAGGTAAGTTGTCATAATTTGTATGTCCAGACCCAGTCTTGAGTATGTATATATTATAATTCATGAAATAGGTATGAGTTAAACTAAAAGATATATTAGGAATCCTTAAAATTCCTTTGGAAGAAGCACTGTATTTTTATTTTTTTTATTCTGGGTCTAACAATATTGACAATTTTTTTTTTATTTTTTGTTTTTTCTTTTTAATGAATGTTCTGAACAGCAGTAGCTGTGAGGAAGAAATCCTTCTCTTTTTCTCCCTCTTCCTCCCAATAAATTTCTGAATTTGTTTGGGCTAAAATATGTGTAGTGTTATTTTTTCTACCTAATTTGAATAGTTGCATTGGTGCCCTTATAGGTGTTAAGATTAGAATTCATAGTGTTATTTCCCTATACTAGTCTCCAAGTACTGAAATGGGCTCTCTGCGGACATTGAAAAATATGTAATGACCTGAGTTATTTCATAGTGCAATGCCATAAGTCTTCTCTGAGCACTGGAGGTAACTGTCTCTTTCAAATCACATCCAAGTTCTATTTAAAAAAAAAAACAAACAACTTGCAAGGTGGAGGAATGTACAATTCATGTTACAGAAAGTGCTTATGATCAAGAAATAAAACACTAGGTCTGGATTATGTGAATGCTGTTGATGCAGATTGCTTATAACTTAAAAGAAGAACTCCACTAAACTTTGTAACCCAACTTCTATTGTACTACAGAGTCTTGCAAGAAGAGTACTTAATATAGTTCTGATAAACATAAAAAATAAAACAGCAGAAGTTATTTGTTCAATGGCTTGTGAATTTTAAAACCAAATTTATCAGGGAAGCAAGCTGTATGTTACTGACAGGGGATGATCAGAATAGCATTGTACACTCTAACTGATTTCTTAATATTTATGGGCTTCTGTTATTAAATATCTAAGAAATATAGATTGTTTTGGTTTAGGGCTGATTCTGTAGACTGTCTAGGATTTAATTAAGTTTAAATATTTAATTTTCTATTTTAGGTGTGGAATATCAAACAGATGATTAAATTAACACAAGAACATATAGAAGCGCTGTTAGACAAGTTTGGAGGAGAACATAACCCACCATCAATATATTTAGAGGTAAGTTTGTGCACAAATGAATGTGTTTAGATTACTGGTGTGATATCTACATCTTTATACAAAGCATCCTATGTTAAATGTAAGTATAACTGCAGTAAGAGTACGTTCTCATCTTCTAAAAACCTAACTCTCTCCATGGAGATGGAGGGGAACTGTGCGGTATTTCTGATATTTATCAGTAAGGGAAGATCAGTAGTGTGTTCTAGCAGTTAAGTTTGTGCAACTGAAATGTAAGACACTGTTTTTAGTGCAAGGGGAAAAAAATGTGTGCTTGTATAATACAGAAATACATGTTCTGTTATTACAAGTCATGTGTGTAACTAGCAACAGGACTGAGGGAATGGCTTCAAATTGTACTGGTAACATTTAGGTTGGATGTTAGGAAATGCTTCTCCAAGAGCATGGTCAGGTGTTGGAGCTGCTGTCCCCTGTCCCAGAAGGTATTCAGGAAATATTTAGATGTTGTAATGAGATTGAATGTGCAAGCCAGTCCTTTGCATGGTGTGGAGATTTCCTGCAGTAGAACTCGAGTGTGAGGGAAGGAAAAGAAAGAAATACATTACGAGGTAACATGATGCAGACAGTAATCTTGTTTCTGTCTTCTTTTGGCAATTCATTTCAGCTGAGCAACAGTTTTCTATCTGGTGTGTCCTTTCTAGTCTTTCTGGCTGTTTTTGTCTTGACCAAGAGCAAGGACTACTGCTTTTTCCAGAATTTACTTTGCAGCCGTTTGTCTGAGTGTAGTCTGCCACTGCTAGAGCTAGTAGTTCAACTTTCTGTGCTCATCTCCTTATCAGAAGAATGACCAGACCAATCGTGGCTGCAGGATAGGAGGATGAAGTTGTATGTAAAAAAGCTATGAATGTAGTTTGATAAAGTGGTGAAGAACATGCTTCCTTCCAGAAATTGCAGAACTAAGAAAATACAGTAGTTCTTATATGCATAAAAAGAACAGGAAATTATGCAGAACACACGTTAGCTTAAGCAGTTCAATTGATAACTCATCCTTCTGTCATCCATTAGAAATGCAAACTACCTGTGCACAGAGCTCCTGAGTGCTGTTGGGCTTTTTGCTCAGTTTCCATACCTGGGCATCATCACTGACTTCTGTGCATGACTTCCACCTTCCCCCAGAGTTTCACACCTTGGACTTGTCACTGTTCAAGCACGTACTCAAGTATACGCTTGAACAGGGAGGCACTGTAACTTAAACTCCATACAGCTTTTTCTGACTTGTTATATTGTTTTGCCAAAGTCTCTTTTTTCTGTACAAGACAATATTACCTTGCTTTCACCAAAATATATTTGTATAATTTGTCATATTGATGATGTCAGTTACCTGTTTCCTTCCATTGCTCTGATCATCTCGATTCTTCATGAAATGTGAGCAGCACTTAAGGACTTCTGTGGACTGTGCCTGTTGATCATCTCTGGTGGGGCTATCAGAAAGAATGTTTTTCTTAGACAAACAGGAATTATACATAGCTAATTACTAGATAAGAACCTGCAACTGAACATTTCTGCTTTCTCCCTTGTTGCCTTTTGCTGCTGTGAACTAGATGTTTGTTATTGTATTGCTTTCTGCAAAACCATGGCTTTTTGATAGCTACTGAAGGTCTGACAGCTGACACTTTCTGATCTGTGGAGCTTCAGTACCATAGGATTTGTTCCATTCTTTTGAATGCTCCTATGGCTTACATAGCTTGTTTCTTATGCCTCTTAGCACCTGCTGAACTTTACAGGACTTAAAGCACCTGATATAATGGCTTCTGGCCTGTAGTGGTACTGCCTCTATAGATCTGTCAAGTAAAGTTGTAATCGAGTCTGGTTACCAAAGAGCATTTCAATTAAAAGAAATAAAAGGGGTAGAAAGTGCCCATAGGAAAGCTGAAGAACTGAATAAAAACAGTTCTGAAAACATATGAAGAATTTAAGTAAATTATTTTTGCATTGAATATAAGATCTACTTTGTTTAAAAATAAAAATGAATTTGTGTTTGAGTTGTTCAAGAAAATAGGTGCTAATGAGATTTTAATTCTGTGCTTGTCTGAGCAAGTGAGAGGATGCACAAAAAGCATGACAGGTTTTTTAATTTGGAGGATGGAGTTCGATGAGTTTTACATAAGATTTTAAAACTGACAGCTATTGTTGCAGCCATCACTTCAGGATTTGTCAATTGACTATGAAAGAAGAATGGATTACCTGAAATACTGAAAGTAATTGACACTATGTTGAGTTCAGCATATATTTAATTACTCCTGCAAGAGGCATACTCAGAGTCACCCTACTTTGATCTGTCACTTCTTACTGATGGAGTTAAGAAAAAGGGACTCTTTGAGCACCTGGAGTAGGGCCTTCTAACCTGTTTGTGTTACTCTGTGTCCAGCTGCCTAGGAGTAGAAGAAATAGCATGAAGCTCTAAGGTAGCACCTAACTTGTCTCCCTTCTCTCAGCACTGGAAAGAAGGAGCTGGGGAAGGAGAGTAAAACCATTGTGATATAGGGGTAGGGAACTAAGTGGACAGATGATAGAAAAGAACGCTCCTCATTAACCATACAATTTTCTTCTAATGGCTGTAATTAGTAATAGCTTTGGGCATCTTATCAAGGCTTTCTAGTCTGAGTACAAGAAAAACATTTCTGCTTGTTCTGGATGGAAGAAGTAATTAATGGATTAAGCATTGGTTGTATTAAAAGCTAAGTATGGCTTCTGGAATGTAGATAAAATCCTTTCTTAGGTAATCATAGCTCTTAACGCCTTCCCCTGTGTGAGATGCTTCTCAGATCTAACTGACCCCTGGAAATCACTGTCAAACATTTGAAGTAACTGCTTGACTCAGTACAGGTAGAAATAGCATTAATAACATTTCTCCTAGAAAAGAGGCTGTAGGGGCTCTTCGATAGATTTTACCACGTTTTTGGAAGTACTCTGTATTGCAGCAGCTGAAAACATCAATGATTTCTATCTTCCCACATACTTTCTCAGTGTGTTATATCTGTCCTTGAGATGATGTTTCCCAAAATACAGTTTATGATTCACTGTGGAAAAACCCTTTTCCTCAAGATTTATCTAAGTGCTGTAAATAGTGGAAATCTTTACTGCAAAGAACTTGAATACTATGATACTGGCAAGTCCTGGGTTGTAGTTAAAACATTTTAAAAACGTGAGGTTGCACGTTCTTCTATAACAGTGTATCATAATATGGATTCTGTTGAGTTCTGATGTCAGTACTAATTCTATCAGTATGTTGCAACATTTAAGTAGTAACTTTATTTTTTTTTAAGCTCTGCTGCTTGTGAGCAAGCAGTTGTCATCCTATGGCATGTATGTACATTGTATGTAGGAATTTTTTAAGCTTCAGGTGAACTTGGCAGATTACCAGGCCTGTGTACGTTTTATTTAAAGTTTCAGGAATATTCTCTCATGATTTGCATATGTTCTGATGCGCCAATTTAAATCTAGTATTCAGCTTTTAGAAAATATCTTTTCTGTAACTTAAAGAAATACTCCAAATTGACACAAAATTGGGAGCCTTCTAGTGATATACAGTGCACAAACATGTTTGTTGTGGATAATATACATGATTAAAGACACTTGGTATTTTGGAGTGAGCCAACAGAAGCCCAATGGCAGCAACAAGCACAGCAGCAAAGATGAACTTGAAATGTTGTGTCTGGAATGGAATGCCTGAATAGCACCTTTACTTCTGAAATGCCAGTAAAATCCTTCATTCCATAAATTATAAGAATGTTCTGTATAATCTTTTTTTCTATAGTAGGTAAAATACAAACTTGATGTATGTCAGCTAATATGGCCTCTAATGTCAGTAGGCCAACTGTGTGGTACAAACTTCGTTCAGATACCTTGCCATAGATCATTTTTGCTTTTTTTACACTCCTTAAATTTAAGTCAGTCAGACAATTCTGTTTTGACTTGGTGCTGTTCTCTCTGTCGCCAGCTGGTACTGATGTCTCTCCAAAGTGCTTAATTTTTAAAAATGAGATTCATTGGAGCTATTCTTTTTCTGCTACGTGAACTATTGCAGCTTCTATGTAAAAATAATCATTTTTAAAAAAGAGAAAAACATATTTAAAGGCTAATAGTAGATTTCTGCTTTCTTGGTGCTCTATTGCTGGATCTTCTGCTGTGACACTGAGGTACAACACAATATTTTGGAGAATTAAAATAAAAAGCCTTTCATGCAGAGTTCAATGGTATAGAATCCAAACCCAGCAACATTTCCCAGTTTTGTACACTCATTGTTTATGCGTTTAAGAAAAATCATTTGACTTTTGAGTTTGCATTAGTGACAGATGAAGCTGCAGGTACCAACATTGTAGGATTGGGCATTTTGAAAGATGCGTGGAACTCTGTGAAGGAACTAAGCCCACAAGTATCCGGAAGTGGTGTAACGTTGCATGTGTTCGTTCAAACAATCTTTTGCAATATTCATGAGAAAAGGAAGTAAGTATTTAGAAAAGTATTGGTGAAATGATAGTAGTTTATGACTCTTAATTTTTGTTTACTGAAAGCAGTTCTTAACACATGGAACTCTTACTGGAATTTACATGAAAAATTGTTCCTGGAAGTAAGAGTGAGATGCTTATGTTACTATACTGCCAAAAAAATGCCATTATTTATAATTGTGTAACTTTCAATTTACTTTTCACGGTAGGATGAAAATGTTTTGGCCTCATGTCACAGAGTTTGTGGTCTATTCACGAAACCCTAGACACTTTCAGTTCTTATAAGGAATTGCAAGCAATTCTCAGTTTTCCTGCAACATTTAGGGTTCAGAGTTGTGGTCTTCACCATTACCATTCAAGCAGCTTTTTCTTTCTTAGTCCCCGCTGTCAAATGAACGTTCTCTTTGTTAATGCAGTTGGTATGATAATGCAAATTCTGTAAATAAGTTTATCCTGGGGGATCTTAAACCTTCTTAAAAAGAGAGAAGCCAATCACTGTTTACTTACTATAAACTATCTGAGTTTGGTTAAAGCTGCACGTACGCCCCTGGAGAAATAAATCCATGGTAAATGCAGTATTTGTGGCAGCATCACTGAAACTAGAAGCATAGTTATTTTTCCTCTTAAAAATAATATATTTTTTCCTGCAGACGTTTTGGTCAGTTTAATACTGTAACTTTAATTAGAAACAAGTTATGCACAGAGAACTGGAGGAAAGCAAGTAAATAGAAATGTACCTTTCCCTGATGTAAATATCTCTTTTCACATCAGAAATGTGGCCTGACAAATCTCAGTCTTGCTGAAGATCTAAGTAGGAAATTCCCTTCATTACTCTTTAGATATTACATTTGTGTTTCATCTTTGTTTCTTATTATCCATATGACATCCTTGGTTAGCACCAAAATATTTATATAGCGTGAAACAAAAGTTTCCTAACTGATGCATATTTTCAGATTCAGAATTTTGAAGATATATAGGTCACTGATGGTAGTTCCTCCTGTATGTTTTCATGGAAACTACAACAGATACAAAGAGCACAATAACACTATTTGATAGAGCAAATTTGCAGCTACGAAACGCTATTTTTCAACATAATCACCACCTTTGGCAATGCATTTTTGCCAGCGATGATCAAGAGCTGCATGCTTATAAAAATAATTCTGCACCAGTGGAGGTGACCCACTGCCACTGTGCTCATATCCCCTGTTTGGTCTCCAGAAATGTTCAGCAAGTGTTGATGAAATGTCAGTAGGCGCCATTTTTTCTGCATGGAGAAATTCATTGACGCACCTTTGCTTCATGGATGCTTCTGTGTCAGATGCTGTTGTGACAGTTTGCCCTTCATCTGCCATCTGTCACACAGCAACAACTTGTAATGGCATTTGGTGGAAAGGTTCAGCCTCTCCTGCCACCCCAGCAACCTCTGCCTCTGATGCTGTGGGCAAAGGTCATAAACTAGGAGGTCTTACCTTTGGAACTGCCCTGGTAATACTTCTGGATACAGATTGAAATGGTTTTGTTACAAAGAAAGTTGATGGTAGCCATCTTTAAATGAAAATACATACTCTTACAGATCTGTATGCATGGCATGTTTGTTTAAAACTTCATGGACAAATGCTGCTGAACTTTTTAAATCGGTATGGACTTGCATTAGCCTTTACTTGTGAAAAGTCAAACTAATCACGTATAGTTATGAAAAAAAAAAGCAAGGATCATTTTGATGTGTTTTTGTGCAACTTTGTTGCGGGGCAAGTTTAGTTGTCTTCTAATTGAACCATGTTTTTATACTCTGGTTGGGGAAAAAAAAAGGAAAGAAAATGTAGTGCCAGAGGTGAATGGTGAGCAGTGAGCAAGGTAAGTTGTCAGATACTGATGGCAAAAAGCAGGCTTTTGCTTCTCTTAATTGTTGTGGTAGATGTGTTACATTCTAACAGAATGGTGCATTTAGCTTTAGCTGACAACACTTGTTACAGATTGCTGTTCTTTAAAGCAGTTCTAAATTAGACTGTATGGTACAGGTGCTTTAAAACTATGATCTATGATTTCTTTTATCCACTTATCTGTTTCATGGATTAAAATTAGTTCAGAAAGTTTAACATGAGTTGAAAGCCATTAATTCTTTGCTTCCTGTCCTTGACCAGACAATTTTGTTCGTATTTATGGGAAATATGAATTAGTTCAGAATGTTTTTTATTTTGCTTGTTCTCAGTTTACACTTCTGTTTTTATCTGAGGCTACCGCATCATTAAAATAGCCATTCTTCCTTCACAGGCCTATGAAGAGTACACCAGCAAACTAGATGCTCTACAGCAGAGAGAACAGCAGTTATTGGAATCCATGGGAAATGGAACTGATTTCTCTGTCTCCAGTTCAGCTTCAACGGACACAGTTGCATCATCTTCCTCCTCTAGCCTCTCTGTAGCACCTTCATCCCTTTCAGTTTATCAAAATCCTACTGATATGTCGCGGAATAACCCTAAGTCTCCACAGAAGCCTATTGTTAGAGTCTTCCTGCCCAACAAGCAAAGGACTGTGGTAAGTCAGTTTCTTTCAGTGTTCTTAGAACCTCAGTATTTCCTGTGTTCTTCTTCATGCAAAACTTAATTTAGGACCTGAAAAGACAGCTGTATTTGTGCTTTGCAGAACTCGGTTGTTTCAATGTGTTGGATATTTTCTGCAGTGTTAATACAAAAATGTGTGCTGTATTGCAGTAGTGGACAGCGCTTTGAGGAGTTCTGTAAGAGTTGAAGCAACTCAAGTATTTGCCTAAAAAACAGCTCTCTTAAATAAATAGTATTCTACCATTTTTCAACACATAGGGGAGGCCAGGAAGCTCTGTTTCTTGTAATATGCAAAATTACTTACTGGTTTAAAAGGACAAGTTTGGGGAAGTTAATGTTTTCCATATAGTCAAAGTTGCTAGCAACTGTGAATGCTTGATAGCTAGAAGCAACCTCTTGCGGTTAAGGAGGGCTATGCAAAATCTTGTTGGCTTTTGTTGTCTTTTCCCTCCCAGCTCACTGTGATGAGTGCTTTATGATGGGAGCCTGAGTCTATCAGGTGCCGTGTAGAGAACTGACATTGGGGTGGACACTGCTGCTGTTAATAGGAGCCTGAAAGCGTTGCTGTGTTAGTGTTGCCCGCAAACTGCTCAAAAACTGCTGTTTATCAGTTTTGGCAGTGTTGCAGTGATTCCTGCAGTTGCAGGAAAAGAGTTGACTTTTTGCAGGTTATCTAACTGTGCTTTTATAGGCATGATGGTTTTACAAGCATGATACCTACAGAACAGAATCAGTATGCATTTGAACAATACACTGACCAGCAAACAGTGATACATGTCTGTCAGCAGTTTCTAAGCTCTTTTTTGCAAGTCCTTCCACTTACAAGGGAAGCTGTGGTCCTAGTGGAAGTGGGAATTGAGATGATTGCACAGCCAGTCTCTATGTGAAAGCAGTGCTTTTCATAGCAGCCAGAAATTGGCTATCACTGAACTGTGACGACATGTGGAAATTCATTGCCAGCAAAGAGGTGAAAACACAAATGACACTGGAAGGCATGTTCTCTTCCTCCCCCGCTACTTTCCCTTCTTCCCTCCCACAAAGCAACAGAAATCAGAAGACTGACTTTTTTTTTTTAATGATAGCTTAATAATGCAGGATATTGCTAAAGCGTGAAAGTAGTTTTTTATTTTTTTAACCTGGAGAGAGGGGGGTTTAATATAAACTACAGCCACTTTGTTGCACAGTGAAGATGTATAGTGTTAAACAAGATGATTTTGTTGCGTGTGTGAGCTTTGGCTAGGCACCTCATGCTACCTATATTTGAAATTTGGAGAGAAGACAGTGGACTTCAAAGGGACCCTGCTTTCTTTGTGTGTTCTGTCCCAGTCTGTCTGTCTGTTAAAGCCCCAAACCCTGTGATCAAGCTGTCCATAAGTATATCATTTCCTGCATTGTTCTGTGCATTTCTTCTTTCTGCGTGTTCACTTCTTCTTCTCTAAGCTGTATAGAATGTTTCTACTCATTTTTTTCTCCTCACATGCGGTATTCTTCTGTTCCTTTCCTCCTCCTCTTTTTTAACTTCCTCCTCAATCCTTTTATTGGAGGAGTATTTTAAGGCTTTTAGCAAGTCTGAACTATTTTGCTTTTAAAACAGTCATTTTGTATGAAGAAGAGTCTGTAGTTATGCAATACACTGCAGTAATCTTGTAGGCATGTGTCATTTTTTCTGTTTTTTATAAATGTGTATTTCAACAAGTTTGAGTTAGATTACAAGTAGGATCACCAGAGAATATTGTTGGCCTTTCTTTTAGGTGTCCTGTTTGCACAAACAAGTTCAGTCACTGTCTGAATATGTGAATCTGATTACAGTTGAGGAATAAGAGGTTTCACAAAAAACTCATACTGAAATTCAGTTAGAAGCAGTTATTTAGGCCAGTACAGAAGTATCTTGCCTCATCTGAGAATGCTTTATGTGTGTTGCTAGCCCACTCTAATCAAAGCAAAATGAGCTGTCTTAAACCAATGCATCTTTAAGGTTTTAAGTAACAGTAACAGATTACCATGTTATGCTCTGAAGCATACAAGACTCTTCTTCCCCAGACTCCTCTCACTTCATCCCTAAGCTTTGAGGTTTTTGATGTATGTAGTGATTCAGCAGTATGGTCATGCTCATTTAGAGCTTACAGACTTAATTACTCTACTTAAGTGATCAAATTCAAGAATTCCAGCTTGTCTATGACAATGTCTTAACCAGGAATTAACTTTCTAGGTTGAAGATGTGCTGTTGTTTGAGGAAATTGTGACTAGAACTTATCAGTAATGCTCTGTAGAAGAAGAGTTTTCCCAGCACCGAATCTAAGTGCTTTTTCTGGTTATAGGAGGCAAATGAGGTTTAAGTTGGATGTTTAATCAGGGAGAGGCCCTTGTTCTTATCTTCTGCTCTCTACTTGAGCCTAAGCACCATTGATTCCCAGAGTTATTTCCAGCTTACCAGATGTGGGGCACTGAGCATAGAGCTTCATGTTGTTTTAGAATTTAAAAGTAAGCAAACAACTTCCCCCCCACAAGCACCACCACACCCCAGTACCAACAAAAGAACAGGAGGCAGGCAAGTGGTAAAGGGAAGATGCAAGTCTCTGTAGTCTCATATCTGGTGTGTGTCAGCAGCTGTGCTTATTATGTAAAGCAACAGACAGGTGCATGCAGATGCAAAGAGAAATGAGATGTACGTGTAGATTCATTGACTGGAAGCTCAGGTTGACAAGATTGAGCAGGTACTTGTAGGGCACTGTCAACAGAAGGAGGCTAGACCTGAGAAATGTAACCAGGCTTTGTCTCTTGGGAGCAGTCTGGGGAGGTCCTCTTTGGTGGTGGGACAGACTTTAGGCCAGATTGTTTCCTGCCAGGTGTCTGTTGTGCAGAGGTTTCACCCTGCTTCATATGCTGTATAGCAAGGTGGAAGTCAGCTCCTGGTCTGCTTGGGGCAACTCATTCTTGGTTGAAAAATAAGCAATTAGAAATATATGCACAGGTCTGAATCATTAATTTGCAGTATCTGCTGACCAGGGAGAGAGCTAGTTTCTTAATTCAGTTTTGCACTCTGCTCAAATCTACGTAAATTACTAAGTTGAAGGTGTATTTAGTAGACATAGTGAATTCTCTGTTTCAGAACTGGAAATAGGTGCTTATAGGGACTCTGAGTGTTGAGGTTATTGGTCTTGAAGTTGAACTTCATGTCTGTGAAATTTGAAACAGACTTATATTATTGAGGATGTTAGGAATTTGTTGTATGACAACTCTTAATGTAGTTGCTCTGTTTTCAATATTTATTGATCCTACAATCTCTACTACCAATCACGTATCTAACTGTAGAACTGGAAACCCCTGTTGAGAGAGCTTGTCAGATACAAGAGAAGCTTTGTTTTCTTATACCAAGGAACAGAATGACACTTCTTAAACTGACTTGATAAAAACTGACTATTAAGTCAGTAATGGAGAGCCAACCTTCTTATTTATCTTTGCTTATATTTTAAAACAACAGCAGCCTTCTGTTGTTTGTTTAGAGCTGCAAGAAATGCAGGAAATGGTGGAGGGGAGCTGCTTACATTTCTGACTAGCAACTGCCTCAATACTGAAGATGTTTCTACATTTGTGTTTATTAGCAGTACTGTTTGTGTGTATGATCAAGCAAATACATCTGTTTTGCTTGGCTCCAACTAGAAATATAATGAGGAAACTGATGGAGTACAAAGAAACAAGACCATGTTGACCTGCGTAAGTAGTCTATGTAGCTGATGTGAAGTTTCTTTGTATGTGTCATGGTAAAGCAGAGCATTTGACAGAACTGTTATCCTAATGCGGGAAGAGGCTTGAAGTTGCTTCATTGGAGACTTAACCAGTAAGTGGTGGAGCCTACTTTTGCTGATTAATTAGCAGTTGAAGTCAGCATCTCGTTTCGGCTGACAGCACAGCAGAACTAGAATAGAACATTTATGAAAGCACACACAAGTAGCTGGGTTGGTTAGTTGGAGGGGGAGCAACGCGTATGCAAGTATCAGAAATAAGACTGTTTTCCTGCATAGTCAGCTTGGGAGGAGACGAAGTTTCCTTCTCTGAACAACCTCTCAGGAAAGTCATCAGATTGTTTGTGATTCTCTAGAGAAAGGAAGCATCCCCTGTGATGCAGGGAGATAAATGTTGGAGTGGAAGTCCTTCAAAGAAATACACATGCTTCCTCTGCTTTCAGTGGCATGGTTCAACTTGCATCGTAAATATCTTTTGGAGAAGTGTTCTGCGGAAATGTCACCAAGATCAGTTTCTGTGGGTTTTTTTTGTTTGTTTGTTTGCTTTCTAGGCCAGAGAGAAAGGATTCTGAAGTAATAAGAACATAAGATGGTAAGAGTCTACCTGACATCATCAGTTTTGCAGAAGAAAAATGATGGGACTTATCCAAACTTTGTATGGGAGAATTTAGGAAAAAAGAATTTAAGCTTGTTTTGGGTTTTAAGCTGGTAGGCTTGGGATAAGGAAAAAATCCCAATTCCCATTTGTTAAAGCTGTTGCATCACTTGCCTTTCTCTGTAAAAGCTGACAACCCACAGTTGCAACTGCTTGGGAATTTCACTGAAGAGATTACGTGGTTACTGTAGAACTTAAGATATTAGTAAGACTTTAGACAGGATTCCAGTGACACATCAGTTGTGGCTTGCAGGAATGTGCTCCGCGACCTTGAATGGAAAAAACACACTGCACTGGAGCCTCTGGAGTCTCCCACTTGTCTACAAGCGCTGTCAGCCTTGATGGGATGATCAAAACGTGTTTCTGTGAAGGGTCACAAAGGATCTACTGCAATAGTAGCAAAACTGGAGAAAGGATCTGTCATTCTTCTGTTTAGTGTAGCTTGTGGGGTCAGACTTGTGGCATGTAGTCAGTATTAAGAACTGTGCAGGCGTATGTTTGGCAAGTATGTCAAACCTCTGTCTAGGGCAGAAGGGGCTATTGAGGCAGAGAATTGGGATTGAGCTGCGACGTAGT